CCTAGGGGGAAGAAGAGGATTCATACCTTTCCAAAGGGTATTAGCACGTAAGTGAACGTAATGGATTCGAATGGAAAGTGAACTCAGCTCTGCAACTCGTCAATCAGAGCCGCTATCCATTACTCCAACATGGTACATGTGTATATAAGAAAATAACCATAGGACATTTGTAGAATGCTAAATCAAGTTGCTCTCAATCAAATCATGTTGGCAAAGATGAAAAATAAATTTAACTTTTAAGCATTAGCCAAATATGTTTATTTGGTTAAAAAGAGACCTTTCTGTATTACTCTAAAGAGAACATATTATCTGATGGTTATTAGCCATATACAAAACCTCAAAAATAATTATTAAATTTCCTTGTTAAAATCAATTCATATTGGACATGATTTATATATATTTTTTCTTATTCAAGGAACCTCTTTGTACAAAAGCCCCCCCCCCAAAGATCTGAAATATTTCCCAGGCATAATTATAAATATTTTCCACTTACATTGGTCTTCCAAAATAATTATAGTGAAAAGAATGGAAATCTTTTAGCTAAGTGCCAATGTATAGAGCAGTGTTTCTCAACTGAAGTTCCCAGAACCCTAAGGTTCTGCAAAAGGTCCCCAAGGGTTCTGTGGTGACATAAGTTAATGCACTTTTATTTAATTTCATATACGTAATATTACTAAACACATACAATATATACTTGGTTATTGTAATATAGACATCATCCTATCTAACCTATTATGTTATTAAAAAATATATTAATATAATATTTATTGTAAAGGATAAAAAAAAAAAAAAAAATTAAAAAACTGATGCAGCAATCATCTGTTTTTATTCTGTTTACATTTATATTATACGTATATGATATTGGTTACTTATTTTTACGTTTGATTTTAGAATTTTTTTGTGTGAATGAGAACTCCCTGATGAAGTATTATAAACGAACAGTATGAATTTTATTTAGCATTGAAAAATTTGACAAAGAAGCATTAATTTTTTCCTTAAATCAGTTATTCAAAAATATATACTATGATATTCACCACGTGAACTACAGTGAAAATAAAATGAGAAAGATATGCTATATAATTTTGTTTTTGTGCAAGGGTTCCTTCAGACATGTAATTTATTTTAAGGGTTACGCAAGGGTAGAAAGGTTGAGAAATTCTGGTATAGAGTAGGGATATCAGGAATTATTCTTAGATAAATTACACAGATCAAAAGAGAAAAAAAAATGATTTTGTGGTCTCTGAACAAACAAATCCATACTGTTATAATTACTGGGAATAAAAGAATTCTCCAATTAAGTTTGCTAAAAATTAAATTCCAAACAAAGGCATCACCACTATTAAAGCGGGTGAGGAATAAGAATCACAATCTCTAAATAGAGGGAGTGTGGAGAGAAAAAGAAAATCTCCTCAGTGAACCAAATGTTCCCATAAACAGATCTGTGACCAGAATCAACAATTTTTGGTAAAAACGCAGAGTAATTCTCCCCCTCACCATCTCTACCAGAAACATGCATTTTTTGGATACTTCTTTATGACAGAATTGATTTATGAAAATTAATTCTGTAGGAAAAAAAATTATGAGAATTTAAAGCCTTTAATTTTTTTTTTAGGAGGAAAAGGTAAACAATTTAAATAGATATATTAATGTATCAGGTTCAGCAATAGTCTAACATTTGATTAAAAACCAGCAGTCTGCAGAGTCATATAGCATGGACATGTTCTCATTGCTGAGTAAGGCTAATACTGATTATCACTTGAAGGTTTTGGAATCAGACAAGAAAAAAAACAAAGTGACAAAATTTATTAAGAGCTACAGGACAAGAAATTGTGGTGAGCCATGGTCGCCAATAACCTGAAGGGGCACGGCACTAAGTCCTACCAGCCATATCTCTGGAAGCAGAAAGAGTGGTTGGTGGGTTTAAAAAGGTAATTAGCTTTTAATGTTAAATTTTTTGCTTGCATATAACATTAGTCTGGAGTAGTATTTATTTATTTTTTAAGTCACTTTTTAACACATCCTCTTTTTGTCCTTGATTTTTGCTTTAATAAGAGAAGACCAATAAACTAGTTTAGCTGTTTTTAATTATATTTCAGTATTACCAATTTAGGGTAATATGTTTCTGAAATCTTAAAATATAACTTCAATAGTTATAATTTATATTTTTGAAGTCACCAAAGAAATTAAATCAATTGAAAGTTTTATTTTAAACTGCATAAAATTATGCCCTGAATTAGAAAATAAAATTAAAATATAACAAGGAAATTTCAAAATATGTGTTTGCTACAACAATTAAAAATAATCAATGAAATTCACCCATTTTAATCTTTTATTTTGTATATATGCATGGGAGGGGGAATCATTTTGCATTTTTACCCAATTTTCTACAAACCTTCATTGTTTCATCCTTAGATATTCCGTTCTTTCCTTCTTGATCATGAGTTAAGAAAAAAAAATTTTTTTTTTTTTTTTAATTATTGTTCACCCAATACAAAACCCAAGAGCCACTCAAGTTAGAGGATTACTGAATCAGGTTATTGAAAGTAGATAACAGATGACACATAACTTTAAGAGGTTAAGACTGTAATGAAGCATCTTCTCAGAGGTCTTGGGAAGAAGCTGTCCAAATGGAATACAACAGGAATGAGGATTAGCCAAACTCTGTATACACTGCATTGCAGGTCTTCATGGTAAAGACCTGAACTAGTAAAACTGACTAGCTTGTCTGAACATTTGCCAAAGAAATGGTGATACAGTAGTTATGACATTGCATCTGTGGGAAAGGAGTTATCCTAAAGTAAGAATTTTAACAGCCCATTAAATTAATGTTTATACCAAGTTAAATCGGAAATAACTGAAAGTAGTTTATATTATATTACATTTTATAGTCCTTTTCCTTTAATTTAAAAAAAAGGGGGAGGGGATCCAAAAATATATCTTCTGGATTACATATTCCAAAAAACAGATATCTAGCAGACTCATGCTTACCCCAGAGACCATAGCTGAGTATTTGTGCCCTGCCTAACTCCCTAATACTGTAATATTAAATATAAACGCCAAAGTAGGTGTCGTCTTTCACCATCAAATACAGAAGGTTATTTCAAGTGATGACTGTTAATGGCTGCCATTTTAAAATAAAGCAAGGAATAAATGTACAGGGTGGATGGAAATAAACTTCCTATTGAAAATTACTTATAACTTATTAATATCAGCACATTTGCATAAAACAAAATATATTGTTAACCCTGAAGTGGTAGAATTTCATTGCTAATTTCTGTTTTTATTTCAGAGTGACAAGTGCAGCCAAGAATGTCACAATACCTGACACTGCATGAGGATGCTCCCACTAGCATCCCATTACAAAGTGAGTGGCACTTCATGGTACGAATGTAAAGAGATGGTGGCACAGTATTCATGAACTTGATGCATTAGTAGATACCAAAACCACCAGAAATTGCCATTCCAAGCAGATGAGTTTGGGATCTGTGATTGATACCCACAGAAGTGGGTATCCTTCAACATCCAGATTGGAAGAAAATGTGCAAAAGGTAGAATTTTAACATTGTACTGTACTTCTAATATACTGTTCAAAATAAAACATGTTTTATGAAAATCAACCAATAATTAATAAAATTATTAATAATTTTATATAGAGAGTTTCTTTCTGCCCAAACTGTATATATAGCAACAGAAATCATACCATAAAATGTTGATACAATTATAGAGTTCTGTTATATCATCAGGACAATATTTTTTAAAAGAAGAATTTTAAAAGGATATAATTTTGAATATAGATTGTCAAAACACTAATACCAAATAATTTTGGAAGTAAATACATATATCAGGTCTAATTTATGAAATAGGGATCAGGATTTTTTTTTTTTTTTTTTTTTACAGCTTATCTATTTCTTGCAGCCCCCCCTCCCCTCACCCAAATTATTTTTTTGTTATCTTTTGGAGATAATGATTTACTGATATGTCAAACTAATTAACCCATAGCTGGGGAAGAAGAGGTGGATTCATACCTATCCCATGTATATTTGTGCATAAGTGAATACAATAAACTTGACTGGAATTGGAACTCGGTTCTCCAATTTCCAATTCGGAGTCATTATCAATTACATCACTCACACATCCAAACTCACAGTACCTGGTGTTCCCAAATGGTCACCTAACCAGGCTCAATGTTGCTTAACTTTGGTGATCATATGAGAACTGGTGTTTTAACATGATATAGTTGTAAGCCCTAATGCTAGAGAACCTTAGTCGACCCTGGCATTTAACTATCTTTTCTGCTTGCTAGTGAGGAGGGTCGCATGTCACCCCCCCCCCCCCCATGGGATGAAAAGTAAGACCTGCTTGTGCAAGATTAATCCAAGTCCTGCCTCAAAACAAAAAAATAGCTATGATGATAAGAGAAACATTGACTTGTAGAAAATCAGTCATTACATAATCATTTTAATTTATCTACATTTGCATTAATGCCCTCACAACATTTCGGCTATTGCGCCGATTGGCCTTCTTCAGATCCAGATAATATTCAGAAAATTTCAAATTGAACTATTAAATCAAGGGTAGATTTTTCTCATTCTGATATCCATACCTAGGGATATTTAATCTTATTATTTACTGTACTACTGTACTGATGTGGCATTCACCCTGGGCGGATTGAGCCGGCTTCTTCCTGTTATGAGAAGAAGATTCTTGGGATAAATTACAGAAGTAGGGTACCCAGGCCTACTCGAATAACGTTCTTGCTTGCCGAGGGGATTCCCACAGGCGCAGAGACAGAAGCGACCAGAAGCCGCCGGTTACCGATGCAGACGCTCCTTGGATTTTCACCAGAGCCCTTGTTAGCGGCGTGTGTGTCAGACCTGTCCTTGGGTGGCCCTACCAGGAACGAAGTTCCGGGCAGCATAGCTCTGACACTACTGTTTACACCCCCCCCCCAACCGACTGTGAGGTAAGGGTTGGACTTCGGGGGCTTACAGTTAAATCAAGCTGAAACACCGGTTCTCGTTCGATCACCGAAGTTAAGCATCGTAGAGCCAGGTCAGTACTTAGATGGGGGACCGCTTGGGAATCTTATTATTTAGTACTGCTTAGTCACAATATATGTAATATCATTATTAATCTGCAAAGTTTCAGCTTTTAAATATGCATTGTTATTAAAAATGTTATACTATTCAAGTAACACATATTCAAATGGGAGCCAAGCATGTTTCTGTTAAATATTTGTGCATATTCATGTATCTATTACTACATCCATACATCAGGTATAAATAAAAGGAGAACATATCAAGTAGCCTATCCCATTAGCAGTCAGTGTAACAGCCCGAGTTGAAGTAGTAAAAAGAGAATTTAAACAATCTGCCTATGTCTATTTTATGTTGTATGAAAACTGCATTCATAAGAAATTCAGTTTCCAGAATATAAAAACTTTGGATTTGCACTTTTGTTTTATTCTTCTTTTCCTTTGTCTTTGAATAAGATTTGAATAATTTTTCAAGACCAAATTTTCAACACCTCAACATTCCATAATATATTTTCTTTTGTCAATTTTTTGTTTAAAAATTTGAATAAACCATTAAGAAACATTTATGTATTAAGTTTTTGGCTGATTATAAACTAAACTGAAATGTTCAACTGCCTCAGACTGCAAATTTCCAATAATGACCCTGCTACTAATCATTAGGGCACAGCAAAATTTCTTGGTTGCTAATTGGTTATTTAATGCCCAAATCTAAATATTTTGTAAGCAATTTTATACTTTCAACTAACAATATTTTGTACATAATTTTATAATTTTAATGTAAACATGTTTTTTTCTTGTTTTTTTTTTTTTTTTTTTTAGATATATACTTTATAGATCATAAAAAGTTTTGTTAATAAGTTTTTTTTAATGTATTCTGGTAATTTTATTATACTAACATTTTTATACTTTTTTTTAGTATTGTATTGTCATTTTACTATAAAAATGTACTGTTGATTTTTGTTTGGGGAACACTATTTGCCCATAACTGGGACTAACAGGTGCTACCACACTGAGTTAGGGCAGACCTGGGAACAACAGCAGTTAAGAGATTGTTCTACATTCCTCAAAACCTCTGATCTTCTGATCAGAGGTCTTCCTACCGGACGTGGTTTTCATCATAGACAGGATGAGAGAAAGCTGCAATCAAGTGGGGGAGTAGTGGATGAAAAGCATGGAGATCACAGTTTAAAGAATGAATGAAAAAAAATATATTTCTTTAATATTTTAATTGTGTTTTTTTTTTTTTATTTTACTATTAACAGCAATGAATGATCAAATTTAAAAAAAGAAAAAAAAAGTTTGATTTTGGTATTATTAAAGTGGTTGTTTTGGACAGATCCTGAATAACTATGTAAAATGTTAGTCTGAAACAACATAATTAGTACTGCTACTTTCACAAGTACATTAACTAACCCACCATATAGGAAAGATTTTCCTGATATTAAAATAGACAATGTGAAGGTCAAATCTCAGCTTAGAAATTCTATAAATAAAGAAACAATATCTATACTACAAGATTTACTTCCCTGGTCTCTAAAACAGGCTATTCTACAAAAATCATTTTCTTTTCCTTTAATGTTGAACTCAATTTTATTTAAAAGAAAATGAATTTCAACTTCAGAGAAAAATATGAAGGTAGTGCAAGGGTTATCAACATAAAAAATAGAATTGGTAAGCAGGGTTCAAATTCTCACAATGCTTGTTGCATTCATATAAATGCCTTTGGGAAAAACATGAATCCATCTATCTCCCAGCTATGGGTCAAATAGTAGATTAAACTGGGCTCTCTAGCCCTGAGTGGCAGCTAATCTAAACAAAGGAATCCTCTGTGGAGTAGGCAATGGGAAACTACTCATGGCAATTCACAGATGATTAAAGAGATTACATTGCTTGAATTGAATCAATTGGAAGATAGTTTTTAGGTTAAATTTAAAAACATACAGTTATCTCCTCCTTTTCTGTAATTCTACTTTCTTGCAGTCTCAGTTTCTAACAGTATAATATGCACTGACTTTCTAAAATATATAGCAGTTAAATCTACATTTAACATTTGTTCAGCTTTTTATCTGGTTTGTATCAACTAAAAGTAAGAATTCATATAGTTTACATGATGTTTTGAAGCACAAAATTTGAACAGTACATAGAACAAAAACAAACCTACAGAAAAAATAATCTCACACAAGAATAAACAATATTACAGACAGTGGCTATTGGCTTTTTCCGTCATGGTATAAGAATCAAAAGTGGACATTACTACTACATCTATGCATAGCATATGAAAGAACCAAAGAACATTTCTACCAGATATCAAGTATGAATAGTAAACCATGTGACTTCACTTATAGCTTCCTTGGTTAAATTCAGCCAGGTGCCATTTATCAGAAACCAAATTCCCTATACACAAGTGACTATACATTATTTTGACCAGGATGTCTAAGTAATTATCTTACACAAGTGCAAGAAAAAAAATTTGAAAGCCATCTTATATGGCAGAGAAAAATGGGAACTAGGCAGCTGGTCGTCACTTTTGATGTTCTGAGTAAAATACCCAACAGACACAAAAACAAATCCAAACTTCAGTCCATGCCGAAGTCAAGGACAGACAGAAAGAAAAAAATCCGCATTTCCAAAGTTGGGAGAAGAATTAATCAAAATGGTGAAAGAATGCAGAATGGCTGGTATATGTCTCAAAGCAGTGGGAATCAAAGATGGGAACAATGCCCGATAAATTCATGGCCAATGTTGAGTGAGGTTAATTAGTGCTTCATGGGGAGATAATGTATTAGTTCATTGCTGGATTCATATAATACAGTGAAGTAGAAGAAAATGTACTTTTAACTAATTATAGAGAGGGTGATTATTTAGCATTAATTTTAAAAAAAAATAAAATTATTTAACCCTTTGGAGATGTAGCCTCATTTGGGAGTTTCAGTGTCAAGAAGACTGAGCCTCTTTTCACAAATCCTCACTTGAAAAAAAAAAAAAAAATTGATATAAAAATCACAGAACATAGCAAACTATCATAGAAACCAGCATTGAAAGACCCAGATGTGCAAAAAATACAAGAAGCAATCTGATTGGATGGTATGAAGACCAACCAGTTAATGTTGAGGCTTGTATAGGGTGACCCCCCCCCCAAAAAAAAAAACGGGAATTTCTGAAGTGTGTATTGCCAGACATGAGCAATTGGCAACACTGCGAGACAGTGACCTTGAGCAAGTAAACATTTTGCCATTTAGAATTCAAGATGAAATTCACAGTATCCCAGCTGAGATGTTGCAGAAGTCAATGAGGAACCTCAACAGCAGATTTCAAGAATGCATTCGTACAGGAGGACGCCATCTACAGGATGTAATTTTTAAAAAATAAAAATTCCATCATTGTTTCTTAAATGGCATGTTTTAAGGTTTCAATTGCTATGAACTAGCAGGAGAGCCTGGAGTTTCCCGGGGATGTAACAGTAAGAGATAGATCAAGTATCGACCATCATAAAGACTGAAAAATAAAATTGACAAAGATTATTGTTTAAGGTTGACGGACACGCATGTCTTAATTATTTTTATTTTTTTACGAATTGGTCAAACTCAAACAAAAACATTGTTTTCAATCGTTATGAGTCTACCAATTGAATAGAATTTTATTATAAACAATTGTCTTGTAAATAGAATTTTTAAAGCATTCTGAATGTAAAAATAAAGAAAAAAGTGTACAAGACAATAAGAAACACTACCTGCCAAAAAAAAAAAAAAAAAAAAAAAGCAAAGTTTTGTTGAAATCGGTTGAAAAATGTAGGAAATCCGATCCCATATATAAATGAACACACAAACAACCTGGGTTTTATAATAAGTATAACTCGATATGAGTTGTCCCCCTTTCATTCTCACGATGCTTCTTAATCGTGTTTTCAAATTGATTCCATGCAAAAACAATTGTGTTTTTCCAATTTTTGGCACTGTCAGAACCACCACAAGGTAATTTTACATAGTCCTGTGAAGTTTTGTTGAAATTGGTTGAAAAATGTAGGAAATCTGATCCAATATATAAAGGTACACACACAAACAACCTGGGGTTTATAATAAGTATGATAAAATATTTTTTTCTTCCATCACTCTTGGTTTTATTGGATTGTTAAAAAGTTCCCGTTTTTTTGGGTCACCCTGTATTATCAAGCTGATGGATCAGTCCAATCATCTTCTTTGTCATTTGACTTTAAACAACAAATAAAAATAACAGAACAGACCTATTTTTTAGAAAACCCCAGGATATTCCAAAGAAATTAGCCTAAATATAAATCCTGTGTCTGACAGAAATAATATTATTATATTATCTTTTGACACTCAGAGCAGAAATATAAAGTAAGAAAAGTAATAATGAGCAAGTACAAGGAAATAAGAAAATTATGAACAGAAGAAATAACCATGACATCCTACAAGCATGCGCACACGCACACACACACACACACAAAAAAAAAAAAAATCAACCTAAGACCAATAAAAATTTTTTTTTTTTTTTAAATAAAGAAAATGAGAAAAATCACCATCAATTGCTCATGCCTCCAGATGAGTGGACTTAATAATAAGGGGCGTTAGGCAGCCAGATGTAAGGGGTGATGTGATTGCAAAAATTGTCTGACAGCCATGACTAGGTTCTCCTGCTTGTGTGGCATGATGCAGAGTACTGTTTCCAGAGATAGGGTTTTCCAGCAGCCACCCTCTTGACCCAGGGCAGCACTACATCTTCAAGCGACTTGATGTAGGCTTCTGTGTTGAGTCCGAGGCCCTCACCAACAAATTCAAAAGTTATTTTCTTATCAGAATATTTTCTATCAGAATGGCTTAATGCTAAGTCTGATAGTTTTGATAAGGATTAGCAGCTGATCAGGGTGAGTTTTCCAATTGAACGTCTTTTTCTTTTATAAAGATCAGCTGCCAATCCTTATCAAAACTATCAGACTTAGCATTAAGCCATTAAGACAGGAGTAAATAGTTGTCATCAGCATAAATACCAAGTTGAGAACTGATGACATTGGGGATGTCAATTAAAATTAGGG